CCCCATCGAGGCCTGAGAGGCTCTCTGTAAGCAAGACTCAAGACCTTCCCGTTTCCCCTAAACAATCTCTTCTATTTACCAGTGGCATGCAACTCCCATGCGGACTTTGGACAACTTGTGATAACACTTGCTCTGTGCTTGGCTGTGCAAAGCTATTTGTCCCCTGTGACGTTATTATGGGACTCCAGGCCCGAGACACACACTAATGCAAATACTTCTCATTCCCACTTTCACTGGAATATTCTAGGCTTCACTAAAGACCATTAAACACCTATTTTGGTATTAAATTAAATAGAACATTCCTCAAGTCTAGAGCTGTGCCTCAGGGAAACTGAAATAAAGACTTAAACAAAAAAACAACCCAACATTTTCCCAGAAGCCCAACAGCAAGGGCAAAGCTATTGTGACATGTCTTGAGAGATTCCTGTTATTGGCAGTATTAGAAATGCAAACCGAGGCCAGTCCCCACAGACTGACATACTTGTGTGGAGGAACCTGTGAGTAACTTTGATGGGTCTGTCCTTCACAACAGATACTAGTTTCATAAAAAATTTCATTTGAAGTAACTTGTGGCCTTTGAACACATGGAACACATCTTCCTAGGAAACACTATCACACAGAAACAAAAGCATCCAGAATCTTGTCAGACTAATCTGCCATGAGCACTTTTGTCCTTTCTTTCAGCGCCATCAGAGCAAGATAAAGGTGGAGACTGTAAAGACAGATTTTATTCTGTTTGTGTTTTATGAACAGGCTGTACAGTAGGAAAGTCCTGATGGACATTCATAGATTAAGTGTCTTCACTTTGCCAAAATCCAATACAAACTAAAGTACTACAAGCTTCAGGCTTATTTAAACCATCCAGAAAGAGGCTTGCTGTACCAGCTTAAATTAACTGCTCTGATGATAAAACACATAACCTGTAATAGATCACCTGTCTGTGTCCTTTTAGGCAAACCATTGCACTAGAAGCTGCTGTGCCTGTTTAAGTATTTAAAACTTAGTGCACAAAACCACTAACCTGCAAAACACTGCAACACCCTCCCCAGAATTAGCTAAAACCAACCTATAGCTCATAAAAGGGACTGCATCATTTTTTCCCCACTCATTATCCATTAATTATAACTCTTTTTTTGTTGTCCTTTGTAATACCTTCCTCATTTTTTCCCCACTCATTATCCATTAAATATAACTCTTTTTGTTGTCCTTCGTAATACCTTCCTTTTTTATTGCCCTTCTAGCTTTTAAAGTCTTCCTCTCCTTTTCAGTACTTTTTTTCCTTTAAAAGTTAAGAGGTTTGCATTAAAAGTTTCCTACCTATACATGTATCTTTAAGGTTTTGTTAACAGTAAAGTAAAATATTACATGTTTTAGTAGAACTCTTAATTTTTCTTAAATTAGCACAACTAAAACACATTCATATTGCACCAAACATAAAACAAGACCCAAAAAAATTACCTAGCCTTTTCATCTTCTGATGTCAATATCTTGCTGCTTGCCAACTAATGACCTACCAGCCTCTAGCCTCAGATACAAACCACTATGCCTGGAAAAAAACCCAGCTCTTCCCAGCCTCCTTTTATGCAGGTCTCGCCCAGCACTGAGGCTATATAAGGGGACAGGAAACATTATTTTCTTCAGGTGTGGGGGTTATATATGTGACTGGGCATGTGTAGGCTAGAGCACAACAATCTTAGTTACTTTTATAAGTTTTTGAAATGGAACTATTAGTGTTTGTTTTAGTGGTTTTTATTTTTGAGGGAAGATAATTTAATTAATTTTTTTTACTTATTGTAGAAAAAGCATTTTTGTGCTTTGTTTTGATATATTGTCATAGAATTTTTTTATTATATTGGTTTAAGTAGATCTTTTAGAATATTTTTTTTTATTAATGGTAAAACAAGTTTAGTTTGCTTAAATAACCTCACACTGGGGATGAGGGATATTACTTTAACTAAACTGAGAATTCAGCTTTTAGTGCTTTCCAGTGTAGGTAGGTTTCCAAAGACAATATTTTTTTCCCCTGAAGGGCTAACAATTCTCATTTTAATAGGGAAACTTAGGCTGGAGAAAATTGTACAGTTAATTGGGGGGTTTTATTCTTGTAGAACCCACCCTGCTAACTTTCCTGTCTGGTACTACTTATAGTAAATGTAGTCATGAGAAATTCTAGCTTTAACAAGATTTAGTAGCAATTGGGGTTGTCTCATTACTTGTTAAAAGTAAGCAAGACATTCTTCTCGCTGTGGAGTTGTATATGAACTATTGAAGTGAAATGCTATTTATCAGAGAAAAAGTGCATTTTGTCTGATGGACTCTTTGCTTTGTTTTGTTTTTTTTTTTAATTCTACAAGCTGTCTTTCTCACCACTTCAGAAAGTGCAGATAGAAAGGAAGTCATGGCCATTAGCTTAACTTAGCAATGTCCTGCTGTATTCTTTGTCTGCTTTGCCCAAGAACACTTTTTTAATTGTATAAAAGCCTCTTTGGTTATTTGAGCTGGGATCCCACTGTTGCTCTGGTCCTTGTCCAGTGGCTTCTAAAAAACCAAAACTGAAACCTGGCAATGTGTTACCAGTTTGCTGCTCTCAGATTGGGAAGCGTAGTGTATATGTCGTGTGTTTGTAGATGGGAAGCTTTGATTTGTTGGGTGGGAGGAGCATCATATCTTCAAAGAGTAGCTCTGCCACAAAACTGGATCCAAGTTAACACACTCCCCATTCTGTGCTGGTTTTACCCCATTTGGCATAAATGATGGCTAGTTTAAGCGTAAGGCTTGCAAACTGCTGTGGTTTGAGAATCCATTCTATTAGCTTAAGTGACAAAGACGCTATAGGTAAAGGGCAGTTGATAACTAACAAAGAGACTTCATTAATAGCTGAGCAATTGCATCAGACTGCCACCTCACCTGTGCAACTTCTGTTAGTAAAGGCTTCAGCACAAGTCTAATCAGAGCTGCAATTTGGGATCGTAATTGAGACCTTCACAGAAGCTGCATGAATCAAGATCAACATCCATCTCTGCTGTGCTGTCTGCTTTTAGCAATCTAATGAGTGGATGTGAAAGCATGTGCCCCAGGAGCAGGGGGGCGGTGAGAAAGGGGGTACTGTGCTTTCAGGGTTATGTTTACCATAACTTTGTAAGGCTCGGAGTTTGCAGGCTTGTCAGTATGAGATGGGCAAAGGCTACTGTGTGAAAAAACACTCCGCTCCTTTGAAGGACATGGCTTTTGGAGTACAAAGCAGTTGGTTAGAGATAAGCATTGGAGAGCAGAGGGGTGGACTTTAAAATCATCAGCTGGCAAGCAGGAGGTGTGTTTTCAAAAGCAGTGAGAGGAGAGGGCAGAGTCCTGCTGTGAGTTAATCCATGACATGTCCTGTGTTTCAGGGTGGTGCAAAATCAGATGCCTGGATTGGGTGTGAGGCAAGGAGCCACGTCCACCTGCAATGAGGAAACAGCAGCGTGTACAGATGTGGAATGGGCCAGGCAGGTTGAAGAGTAAGTAGCAAGGATGTCAGGAGCTCTTTGAAATGGAGATGCTCAGGCTGCCTGTGTGTGTATCCAGGGGTGGATTATTCCTGGGGGACGGGACCTACAATGCCCACATCGCCCTGCCTGCCTGACACCCCGGGGTGGCAGTGTGAATCCTCCAGGCACGACTCATGAAAAATCTGGCCCTGCCTTCCACAATGGGCTGGAGATCGGTTTCTCCCTGTCCGTTTCACCAGCAGAAAACTTGGAGGATGAGGCTTTCTGTGGCTTAAAAGATTGGTTATTCCCAAAAGGGTTGCTTTATAATATAAAAATTAGAGAAAGCAGCTTGTCTGGGTCAACAGGCAAGCAAACAGCGGTCACAAAATGATTTCACAGTTCGTTGTTAGACTGCTAAACTAAATACTGCTAGGGAGAGAGAACCGCTGTGAAAAAGATGACAGACAAGGTCTGCAATAGCGTGCAGAAAAAAAAAAAGAGCTACTTAGATTTGCGTCATGGAGAACGGTCATTGAAAGGCTGTAAAATGAGAATCCCAAGGTAGCACTGTCCTTCTCTGTCTTTGTCTTAGCAACACCGGAGATAGTAAGGGGAAAACCTTATTCTTTGGAAGCTGTAGATGACTGTGGAGCAAAAGTATGTTCCCTACCAGACAGCTTTAGTCAGCTCACAAACTTATTTCATTTGGGGTTTCTTCTCTGAAGCTCGCTGTGTGTGGTGGCATCCCTGATACCCCCTGTCAACAGCTTGCTTTTGAGAGCTACTTGCTGAGGTTCATGGAAGGCCTTAGCGAGCCCTTTCTTGAGGGAGCCCGGTGCATGATATGAAGTGTGTCAGTGGCTCTGAATGTGGTGGAAAAGACTTTAACATTTTGCCAGGCAGCAGCCACTTTGCATGTTGGTGCTGATGTATGCTATAACCCCTACCTGGATCCAAGAGGAATGGCGATATGTTGAACTCCTCCTGCTGTGGGGGAGTCCTGGAGGGCTGCCCAGATGTCCATGCCAATGGCTCAGAGGCCACATGAGAGTTGAATTTCTTATGAGTTCAAGCTTGTGTTGTCCTCTTAGAAAGGAATGATCATTCACAGGACGCTGCCTTGTTTTACTGAGCTCTTTCCCCTGTAAAAGGAGAAAACCAGGCTGGGCAAAGGCCACAACCTTCTGTGGCCACAGAGTCCGGCAGAGGAACTTCCCTTCTGCAGGAAAGAGTTCCTCCCTCAAATAAACCTCAAGCAAAGTGGAGACCTCAATTAGTGCTTAAGCAAGGACTCGAGGCATTCCCCAGCACGCGTGTTATGCAAGGGTCAGGTTCTGCTGCCCTGATTCCCGTTCCTCCCCGAAACTGCAGGCATTTAGGCACATGCCTCAAATACATGAGGAGTCCCACCTCCTGCATTGGTCTGCCCCAAAGCATCACGGGTCCTATATCTGGGGTCAGCCAGCAGCAGAAGCATCAACCAGGCAGTGATGTACCCCTGTCCCATGTATCTTGGCTCTCTTCCTGCCTTCATAAAGGATCTACAGGAGAGCCAGATTAGGTGCAAGATTAAGCTACTGCATTTTTTTACTGTATAGAAGCTCATTTATGCTAGACTAGAGAGCAGTGTATATTATAGAACCCACATAATCCAGTGAGATTACTAAAGTCAGTTTGTAATTAGTAAACTCTCAGGAATAACTGCAATGGACATCTCTTCTCTGCACCTGGACCCCCAGTCCCACTCACTCCGATCACATAAACTCCTATGGGCAATCTGGGGTTGGGGTCTCTGAGGAAATGCAGGTCTGGTTATGAAACTCCCTCCCCCCTAACAAGCCTGGGACCTGTATCGCAGTACAGCTCCTTTTCTGCCCAACTCAGATTCCTACAGCAACGGTTTCCATCCCCAGGCGTGGGAATGGAGCTCTAGCCGCAATGTGGGTACCACTTCCTAGTCCTGTGGTGTGAGGGAAGGGACTGGAGGTGCAGGATGGAGGGGGCGGTATCGGTGCTGCCGGGCAGCCCGGGGCAGTCTTGGGGAGGAGCAGGGCTGCCACGCTGCCCTGCATTCCTTTCTGCATGGGCTGGTGGGCAAGAAGGGCTGAGAAATGGAGTGGGTGTGTTACACCCTCCCCTACTCGGGGCTCTCCAGCTGCTGCCCTCTGCCACAGCTAGTTGTGGAGGACTTGCTGGAAGGCTAGACCTTGATCACCCGCATTTTTAAAAGCAGGACTCGTCCTTAATCTGCTGGGATTAAAAGGGACGCAGTCTTACCTACTCCACAGAATTTAGGTGGGGTAAACAAGTGTTTGCAAACCCCAGGACTAACAACAATCTGTTGCTGTAAGCAAAAGCAAGCACTCCACTCTGGTTGGGGCCAGGCTGTGAGGTTCACACCAGAGTTTGAGACCCCGAACCCCTGCTCCCACTAATGCTGGTGGCTGTGGCTGCACCCAGCAGCTAGTGCCTGCCCAATGGAGTGCGTAGGACTTGGCTATCAAGGGTTCAGATGTGCTTCCAGCAGAGTTGTCGTATCCTTTCACTGGTAGAAAAGCAACAAATAGGAGGGAGGGCAGAGAGGCTCAGACAACTGTTCATTGGATTAATTTAAAAATACATTCTTCAATAGGTTCAATCTGTTTCACAGCTTTTTTCTGGTTGCCTGGCTTCCTCTTGTGGGATGGCCACCAAGGTCCCATCTCCACTGGCAGGGGATGCCAGGGCGCTGTCTCTCAGTCACTCTCGCTGCTGGTTCGGTGGGACGCTGCCGCACGGCCGTGCTGTGGCCTGAGGCAGGCTCGCGGGGGCCTCTCCCGGTGCGCTCCGAGCCCGGAGCCGAGGTTTGGTCTCGGCAGCTTTCGCGATGCTCCGTGCCGAGGCGCGGTGAAGGCTCTACCCGTGTCTCCGCGCCGAACCGGGGCTCAGGCTGGGCCGGGCTGGTCCAGCG